GAAACTAGTCGAGGTAAACTTCGCTAATAGAGAAGAGGCCAACACGTTGATTAAAAAAGCTATTTTAGATGGAAAGTATTCCTATAGTAACTCGTACTACAAGATCATTATAAAGGGTACTATTAATGATGTTCCACTTGATCTAGATCCCATGGAAATAACAAACGATATAAATAACGACCATGTTAACAAAATCAAAGTATGCGTGGAGAATTGAAAAGAGTGGAAGGTGAAAAAGTGAAATTCCCTACGAGGTTGGTGGTTCTGATTTTCGAGGGCCATGGGTGTACCAAAGAAAGTTCATGTATACATATCATTTTCAGAATTATGCTATGAATGTAGCCGTCATGGACATTTAAGTCTTTCATGTGAAGGGAAACGAAGATGCTCATTCTGCGGGGAGTTAGAACACGAAAATGGCTGCCAAGCTAAAACTCCTAGTTGCGCAAACTGTCTCGAAAACTATGGTTTTGGTTATATCTATTGATCTTGCCCTTTTTACATTTTCAACTCCAAAGCAAAGCGTGTTATGGTACTAGAGAATATCTCTTTCAAAGAGGCTAACCAGAAATTCAAGGGCGATATCTCCAAGATCCCACGTACGAGGGAGATCCTAAACAGATTCCAGAAACGACCCTGGGGAACTTTCCAACACTTTCGGCAGCTACACGAAACATCCACGTAGCTTTGCGCAAAGTGTTGGACGAGGATGGAGCGACTAAAGTCACTTGTGTGCTAAGGTGTCGGCCAAACGTTCGCCGTACTGACAATAGAACGGTCCAACTAAAAACAAAGCAAGTGGGACCAAGGATTTCAAGCACGCAGAGTCTTCCGTAAAGAAGTAAGGTTTCTAAAAATATTTGTGCTCCCATTTCAAAATCGACTCCCAAAATTACTCAAGGTGTCGAGGTGAGTTCTCCACGGGGCTAGGAGAGGACGGGCCTAGCTAGTGAAACCACATTTTCAGAGCCAACATTGATTTCTACTCTTGGAGTTCAGCATCAAGATCCACAACGTAGGCTTACTCAGAAAAGGCAACGTCATTGGATGCAATCTACACTGATAATGAGTGAGGATTCTATCTTTCAAGATCGGCGTGTTTTTTCTTTGAATGAACATTCTGCTGAAGTTGATATTGAATCGATAAAGATTAATTCATCTGGACAAAATACCTTTCGAAGTTTCAAAACGATTACCAGAAAAATCTTAAGGGTTCTTTTGGACATCTATAATGTTAATTTTGAAAATGAGTTTCCAACAGATTAGAGAAAATACAAATTACTTTTTATTCCAAAGGGAAATAACAAAGATGTTCGCCCTATATCAATGTCACCATGTCTGCTTAAACTCTTACAGAGAATGGTTAATGATAGATTATGGTGGTTTGAAAATAACCAACTAATTAGCAAATGTCAATTTGGCTTTCGACAGAAGAAATCCCGTATTGATAACTGGTCTATCCTAGTTTCTGAGATTGATCACCAATTTTATAGGAAAAATAGATCTATGTACATTGTTTTTACATATCAAAGGGGCTTTTTAATTGTGTTCGTTCTTCAGAATTAAATCAGGACCTAATTGAAATGGTATTTCAAAAAAATTCATTCACATTCTTTTCAACATTTTATCTGAAAGACACCTAGATTTTATAAATTGTCCATTTACTCCAAGGAATATTTTTTACCCCAAAGAACATTTTCTCGACCTTTTGGCTTTCTAATGCTAGAACTGAAAACAGCATACACTTACGATTACTATTATAAAAGTGTAAATTCTATTGCTTCCCGGGTAGAGGAGGTGGCTTATTGGTGTTCACGGACTCAGCTCTTTGGAGGGGAAGTCCGCTGATTCGAGTCTGAGTCGGTGAATATTATTTATCACAATTGTCTGTTGCCGCAGAAAATAATTGGTAATTCCAGAAACTTTATTAAAAAAAGCTATTTGAAGCAATTCTAATTGCAAATTATTAGGTATTATTGATGAACATAAACTGGAAGTGAATGTATGTGGTTTTCGAATATTCAACTTCTAAACTCTTTTCCACCTCATTGGATTTGTAAACCATCTTGACAAACAATTTTTGTCTCCCGGCGCTTACGATTTACAGAAGAGCCAATTGTGTAACCCGGGTGGCCGAAGTGGATCGGACACAGCAATTTGGAGGGAAGGGCGGTTGGTTGGAGTCCGTCTTGGGGGCATTTATTTGTAACAACTCTCTGTTGCCGCAGTAGACTATTGAGAATTTCAGGAACTTTATTGAAAATAATTTGAAGCAATTATACTCACATATACAATCTGTTAAGATTCTAAATAAACTCGAAGAGTCTGTACGTCATTTTCGTAGTTTGTAATATTAAGAAGTGTACAACTCTCTTGTTGTATTTGTAAAACGTATGTAACATCAAATCAATTGTGCAATGTAATATGCAAATCTTTATAATATTACGGAGCATTTAGAAACATTGCGAGAATGTTTGTGCTTTGGCTGTACCACTTATATCCGCGCTTTTTCATGAGCCCCGGAAATCTACCCCAACTCCTTTCCCAACATTATTTGAATTAAGAATAAATGATAGCAACGAGCATTGTAGACAAAATCTGTAACGAGAAATATTCGCG